GTGTTTTTTTAAAGTGCTTTTCATTCTGAAGGCGCAGGGAAGAGTCAGGGCTGTGATGTGAGATGTGTCCCTGAGCATTTGGGACGCAGCAGGGAGGGGTGTGCAAATGTATTGATTGTGAATGGGAAAGCTGCTGTCTCGAGCTGGGCTGTCTCAAAAGATGAACAGTTGTGTGAAGGCTCTGAATAACAAACAGTTCTGCTTGTCAGTTGTGCTAGAAAATTGCTGGCATATTTGCATTGTTTCTGTAACATTCATGGGAGGGGGGGAAGAAACCAGCGGCTTTGCACCCATGTGCTTCAGCAAGAACATGTTTCTTCTAGCCTTCAGTTTTTATTTGCATGGTTTGTGTGAACTTTACTGATTTGTAAAAGTCCATACAATAATTTAAGGGGTTATTTAGACTAATCAAACACAGCGTTCAAGCACTGTCGAGAGTAAAAGATGTGTCATAGCTGAAAAAGCCAAGTGAGCCATGTGGCAAACAACACTACTGAATGTCCTCTGAAGGTCTCCATTTCTCCTCAGGGTTACACAAATTATCACAGAGTGTTTATGCCTGTAATATTAAACAGCTCTAATGTGATCAGTAGTGAGATAGCTCCTTCAAATGGTCGACCTCAAAACTCCCTGGGTGTCTCCCACTGCATCTCTAAGTTCCTGTGAGTTGTGAAAATGTCCCTTGATCAGCCCTTGCTGTGGAACACGGACCTGGGACTTGGGTTAGGAAAAAACCCCTGTATTTTTTACTAAGGGTACAAGGCTGATTCATCAGACGAGCCTGGAGAAAAGCATTGATTGCTGCCCCACATCCCCTCCTGCTTCCTGAGCCTGCTGCTGTCTTACACTGAACAAACCTTGGGGAGGGCCAGAATCCATCTGATGGCTTTTGTGGTCTGAAAACATTACTGAGCACATTAAGATGGTCTCTAAAAATAGTGCTGGGTTATGAGAAAGCAAAGGAACACTTCCCTGAAGGTAAATGAACACACCAAGCACAAACATAGCAATGCTGGGAGGTAGAACCTGAACGTTCACTCAGATCCCGCGAAGTATTCGAGCTCTTCACCCCTGGTGGCACCGAAACGGGGTGCCCAGACAGAAGCAAGATGCTTGAATATCTGTGCCCCTGCAGTGCTCTGAATGAAGTCACTGTCATTGTTTGAGAATTTTTTGTAACCTGAAGTTCAATTTTGAATTTTAGGTTTTTTTGCGGTGTCACTAAGTCCATAAAGGAAACATGACAACAAAGTATTCCAACAATGTTTTTTTTCCTAACCAGCTCTCCAAGCACCAAGACCAAAGGCTCTTCAGTCTTAACTGAACAGCAGAAGGTGCCAGAATCTATGTCTCCTCTGTAAATGACCTTTTGATTTATTCCTGTTGTTGGATCACCTGGTCTGCGCTCCACTCCATAATGCTGAATGCTACATTCTCACCACTTACAACCATAGCACATGCAAATATTTTGGACAACCAGGAGGACAAAAGCATCCTGAGCTTTTATTAAAAAAGTGCTACTTCCAGCATGAAGCCACTGGGATTTGTGTATTTTACCTTCCCCATGAATGGAATAACCCTGGACAATTTTGTCCCTTTTGAGAGTACTGGAATGTTGTATTCAGCCTGGTAAAAATGAATTGCTGGATTGCCTGGCAGCATGGAAGTGACTGGTCAGACTCTTGGAAGCATGGATCTCACGGTTTTATCCTGTCAAGTCACTTCATCATCCTGGCTTTGTCCAGAATAGGTTGGACAGCGTTGGCTCCTTGTATTGATCACAGAACTGCAAGTACATCCAGCTGCAGACCCCTGGAATACTGACAAGATGGTTGGGGAAGTCCAGAAAGAGATGTAGCACAACAGGATTTGCTTGTCCCGCATTCCTGATAACTCTACAACAGCCCCAAATCAGCAAAGTGCATTCATTGTACTTAAAGGACAAGTCAAGGCTTATCAACTGGAAACGTGTCCTTCAGGCCCTGAAGCCACGAGTCATTTTCCTGGGCCACATGTCCTACTCCACCTCTCTTGCTCCATGGTGGTTTTGCTTGATTTTACTTTTTAACTGACAAACCCAACAGTTGATTCTGATAGCAGTTTGGAAAATGGATGTTTGAAGGATTAGTGAAGAATGTTTGACTGAGAATTTCTGTTGGTGTTGAGAGCAAAATACCTGTTGAAATTATCTCCGTGGAAAGTTCTGTAGTTTAAATGTAGCAAACCTTGGCTGTGTCTGCCTTGTGCTTAGTAGGGATGCACTTGGCACATGGATTTTTCAGTCAACTGACGTTAGATATTAGTCCTGCCTGTAGGATTTTTGGATATTCATTGTCCTCATTGCAAGGGAAACAGGATATTGCCTGTGAAGATGCAGTCAGGTGACAGCCTGGGGAGCAAGAGGCTCTGGAAGCTCTTGGGAAAGGATCTGTAATGGAAGATGAAGTGACAAGTAGATCTCCACTCCCTGGGATGAGAAAAATCCAGATAGTGTTTATATTCTGTTTACTAGGAAGTGCTGTTTCCCAGGAAACCAGGAACATTTTAATTGCAAACACTGAGCCTTCCTGGACTGGGTTTTTGCCCCTCAGTGTGGTACTCAGGTGTGAGAGGCTGACAGTGTGGAGGGGTGAGATTTTGGGGGTGGATAAGGCATGGTTTGGTTTCATTGCAGGCAAGTTTGCTAATGCCTGTTCCCATAGGATGGGAGATCTGAGCATCCTCTGCCTCCTCATGGCTCAGGGGGCTCCCTCACCCTGTGCTGTGGCACCACTGCCATGGAATCATCTGGTCCTGTGTCCTGCATGTATCAGATCTGGCAGCCAGCACAATAAATGGTCAGTGATACCTGTCTGGTGTGTCTGTGGCGTGTTTAAGTTCTGCTGATTTCATGGACAGAGGGAAAGACTGAAAATCTGTAACATGTTGGTCTTCAGACTAAACCTATTTATGCACCTTCTGGAAACTGCCTTTGCAGCATGGCCCTTCTTTTCGGGCCCAGTCTGTTGGGTCAAAACCTTCATGCTGCAGAAGCTTCTTTCTTTCTGAGTTTCAGTGAGCCCTGTGAGCTTCTGAAAGGTCCAAGGCAAGGCTGTGACCTCAGGGGTGGGGACCGAGGTACCTACAGGAGAGGAGGATGGTGCTGCTTTTCTTTGCTGCCTCGGTTGCCATGGAAAGCAACCAGAAAGTCTTGTCCTTGCTCCAGGTTGTAACGGGGCAGTAACGGAGCCTCCGGGGCTTTGGGATCGGCCTGGAGTGACTGTGAGGACAGAAAGCAGCCCTGACCAGAGGGCCTGGGCTTTTCAGCTGCACGTGGAGTAACTCACAGTGCCTCTGTCCCTGGAGATCTCCCGCGTGTTCCGTGGGGTGACATCAACGTGTGGGACATGGATTGATGCGCGTGAACTCTGCCCTGGTGGCCAGGACAAATGTCTTTGTGAAGGCGAGACCTTGGGGGGGTGTGAAGAGCTCTGGATGTGCTGTGGCCCTGAGTAAATGCCTGGGTACTACCTGGAGCTTTTTATCAATAGTTCTGAAAACAGCGTGCCAACAACGCAAATATTGCCATTGTCACCCCGAGTGGGAACAGCTAAACAAATGACAAGACAGGATTCAGCAGCCTCAAATCACTAAACCTTACATGCAGCTTTCCTGAGTGTTTGCTGCTGATTATTCTGTTGCATCATGCCAGTTTTTTAACAGCTTTATTCCTGGCTTAGTCTGTTTTGAGTGTGGTGTAAAAACTGGGGCTGACGTTACTCACACGCCTAGAAAACACCTTTGTGAACAACCAGCTTGATACAAACATTTTCAATGTGTTTCCTTTCAAAATCAACTTTTAAGACAATGTTTCCTTCCTTCCTGAGTTTCCTGAATTGTGCTAAGCCGGCCAGTGGGAAACAAAGCTATTTTTAATTCTCTTTTGTGTGTGTGCTGCAGTCCTATTAGAAGCCGTTAATGTGCCTTTTGCATTTACAGGCGGGCTTGAAAGTGTCCTTGCACAGAAAGCCATGAATCCACAGCTGAAGTGCTCTCATGGCTTTACCAGAGGAAGCTTTATCTTAATGTCTTGTTTTTACTGTTGCAGAACAGTTGTGTAGCTGGAGCTGTCTTGGGAAATCAGGATGCTGGTAGGACTGAGAGGCACGGGCAGCTGTCAGCCGAGGATTTCAGGCTGCCAAATGGTACCATTCAAAGGGGTATTCACCTTTCATCAGAGTAAAATTCAAAACTGAACATTCCGGAGCTTAAAAACCCGAGAACGGTGTTTTGGCAGGGTGGTCATCTGGCCCTTGGTGTCCATCAGTGGTTGTGAGCACAGTCACTGCAGTTCCAGCAGCTCCTGCCGTGCCAGGCAGCCGGGCTTTAACCAGGCTTTAACGGCCCCGCTCTGCTCAGATGGGCTCTGAGCGCGGCTTAACGGCCCGATCTGAGCCCAGCTTTACAGGCACATTAGCACCGGGACTGCTGTCATTACAAACTAGAGCACACACCAGGCTGTGTGACCGGAGCGTGATTTAGCAACCCCTTAGTCTTTTAATTATCTCCTTCCTAATTAGATTGCTCGGATTACTTGGTACTTGAAATAAGTGCATATCTTTAACTTCTCAGGGCAGTAAATTGGAAAAAATTCATCGCTTTTCATTTTACAGGCATTTTGTCTTTCAGGCTGAAGTGCAGCAACATATGGTGCTACTTCTGAGGTAGCACTTGTCAAAATATCTTTGCTTGTAAAGTTTTCTACAGAGCTATATAATTTTCTCCTGTAAAAGCATTCCTAATGTATTTAACTGGTTTTTATAGCTACAGCACAGGACTTGTCACGCTTCTGTCATTGCAAAGTTTTAGTGGATGGAGGTCAAGAAATTAAATTGAACCCCAAATAAGAAGAATGGGCAGCAAGTAGTTAGAAATCTGAAGAAGTAAAGTAAGAGTGATAATTGTGTAAAAAAAAGAAAAATAGTTTATCAAAACACTTGCCAGGTATTTTGAAAGGGTCAAAGCAGTAGTTTTATTTCAAAGTTGAACTCTTGGGATATCACTGACAGTCAGTGGACATGGAATCCTCTAATGCAGTGTCCAGAACCCTCACGTGGTGGTTGGTCACATCTCTGTTTGTGTGCAGTCTGGTGCTCACAATTCCCAAGCGATGCTCTTCCTCCTGCCTGAGCCATGGGAAGCTGGAGCCATGAGCAGGCACTGAAAATGTAAACCAGCAGCACATTCATCTATATACAATGAAAGGAAACTGGAAATGTGTCTGAGTCTGAAGAGCTGGAAAAGGGAGAGGAGGAGAATAACTGGAATATTCTGTATATTTTTGTCTCCATTGCTGGACTGGTACCCAGTGTGAGAGATGATTAGTGAGAGGCTAATTGGCCTGTTAAATACACTTCTCCAGAAGTGTGGTCCCCTGAAGTGCAGGAGGTTGCCAGGGCAGGGCATGTGCTGGGCATCACCCCCAGGACCTGTCACTGCTCGGAGAAATGCCCTTTCTCAGAAGGGGGATGTTCCTGGGGACTTGCATGTTCCCACCGAGTTCAGGGGCTTCAAGAAGCAGGGTGGGTTTAAGTGGTGTCTTAAAACAGGAGCTGGGACTTGGAGATGTATTCCAGGGGAGGAGCAAGGAGCTGCCCCTGCAGAGCTCCCTCCCTGGGAGGGACAGAGGGAGCAGCCAGTGCACAATTGCTGGAAGTGGAAAGGAAGGAGAAGGACGGACTGAACAGGATCTCCTTTCTCCTCTCTCCTGCCGTGGGTTCAGAAGCTGATTGGCACCTCTAGGGAAACATCCCTGGGATGTGGAGATGGCTCTCGTGGCTGTGTTTGAGGCTGAGGGACTGGGGTCACACCCAGTGAGCACAGGCAGTAGAGCTGGGCAGAAAAGAGCTTCTGAGGGGCTTGGAGGGAAAGAAAGTAGCTGAGGTTCGACAGAGTCAGGGTTACATCTAGGAATGAACAGGTTGTAAAGTGAAGGGCTTGGAAAAAAATATGTGAGGAAGGGAAAATGTCGTAATCCAGTTACCCAAAGTTGGATTGTGTTGAATTTGCCCTGCTTTTGAGTAGTATCCCTGCTTCCAGAAAATGGAGGAGTGGGAGAGCAGGATCAGATTGCAGGGCAACCGGAGCTCCAGCATCCAAATGTGCAACAGCAGGGAATGCTGTAGGTAGTGACTGCTTGCATATCACCTCTCTGAGGGTGCAGGGGCTGGAGGGGTTTGTGCCTGACTCTGTAGCTGTTCAGTCAGTGCAGGTATCAGTTGGTGTCCTGCCCACCTCTCTCTGCTCTCAGGTGAAACCAGGGCATTTGTCACAGTGTCACCCTTGTGTGGTGCTGATCCTGCCCAGCTCCCAGTGGCTGCTCAGCATTTTTGCCTCTGTAGCACCTCTGAGCTCCCCGTGGCTTTTGGTGTCTTGAGCCCTGGAGGGACCTGCTGCCAGTCTTCCCTTGTGACTGGGAATGGAGGTCTGGCAATCCTGAGAGTGGATGGTGTAGAAATCCGAATTTTTCTTTGTATGCCCTCCCCTCCCCTGCCAGAGTTTTCTCTAAAGCAGGAGTCTTCCTCTCTGTACTGGAAGGCAGAAATCTTTTGTTATGAAATATTTAATGTTTCAAACAACTGCTGCCACGACATTGTTCAATAGTCTGTGTTAGTTGTACTCTGCTGCTAAGTCTGAGCTTTCCTATTTAAAAAGGGGAAAGCAAAACATGTTTTCTATCCACTTTATACTAAATTAATGATTTCTGAAAGTCGTTACTGCGAGTCCTTTGATTATTGTTGCTGGTGAAAAAGAAATTACATTAAAAACCAGCTAAAACTCTAATGTGAGATTAAAATCCACAGTGCTGGTACTGTTGACCAGAATCCTTGAAAAGGAATCTGGGAGTTCCTCCTGGTTCCTGCTGTTAGTCCCTGTTGGAATGCCAGAGAGCCGCCAGGTGAGTGTGGCACAGGAAGTTCCTGGCACGAGGAAGTTCCTACAGGTGCCTGAGCTTCTCAAGCTGAGGAGCTTGAAAAAAAGATCTCAGCTAGGCTGGATGGGGAAAGAGTCTGCTGGCTCACTGTATGTGTGACCATACCTGGCAGCAGTTAATTTAGGGGCCACCTGTCTCGTTTAATTCAAATAGACACTGTTCACTCAGCTGCACAAATAGGACTGTCCATCTGCACACCCATTATCAGACCAGATTAATTAAAGGCACTACATTCACTGCAGTTACAGAGGCTGCCATGCATTGCTTGATAATCATTTAATTATATGTTACATAGGTAGAAAGCACCATGTAACTTGCATGTTAACCTGCAATTTTTGCATCAAACATGAGGTTTTGTTTGTTTGTTTTTTGTTTCATCATTATCAAGTCACTTGGCTAAATAGCCTTACAAAGGTGGGAGGTTTGAAGGATGTACTGAGGAATTTGTAATGCTTAGTTTTAGCCTTAGGACCGTTCCTAACTATAACCTTAAGTGTCTTTAATCTCTCCATTTGTCTAAATGATAATTGTGATAAATTTACCATGACTCAAAGGTACTGTGGGATATTTCATGGTAAGGTGCACCCCCTTCCTTCCACACTTTTCTACAGAACCCCAGGTTGGATGTGCAGCTGCTTTGGGGAAATTCCAGACCTGTTTCAGAGGGATAGGGCAGTGCAAGGAGGTGCTCAGTGTGGTGATGTAGAGCTTATATTGCAGCTGTACCAACAAGCTCCATCCTCAGATACACAGGCTGTCTGAGATTCAACAGTAAGAGGGAAAATTGAATTATGACAAGTGTTGCCAATCCATTACTGTACCCAGGGCAGGGAATTAGACCTGCTCTCTGCAATAAATGAGTATCCTGGAAGTCTGAGAGCCGTCCTTGCCATGCTCCAGGCTCTGCCTGCTGCTACAACAGGGTGTGAGCAGCACTTGAGCTGTTCTGTCTCCATTTCTGGAGACTGGAATCATTCTTTGTTTCCTTCTGCCATGGCTTGGGTGACAGTGCAGGGCCAGCAGTGTTTGCCTGCTAAAGAGACACACTGCTCACTGTTCTCCTTGAAAATGCAGATTTTAGCCACTGACACGTTAAAAATCACGATTACTGTGTGATCTTGGCTGTAGTTTGGAGCTTTTTTTTCTCTAAAGGAATTGCATTTCACTGATTTGTAGCAAAACAGAACTAGATGGAGAAGTGGGATGGTTGAAGTTGTGGGGAGAGAGAAGTCCAGGATTGTGCAGCCCTTGGCTGAGGTTCTGCTGTTTTGCATTTATTCCTCTGTTCATCCCAGGAACAGACCTGTTGGAATGGTGAGCCCAGAATCCCGAGGGTAAATCAGCAAGACTCCCTAAATTCATTAAGGTACCTTAGCACTGTTCTGGGCAGTAAAGGTCTGACTGAAAAGAGCAGAGACAACTCTTCCCCTAAACCTTTGCTTCCCACCCCAGTTGAAGTGAGAAGGATCAGTGTGTGCAAAGTGAGGGAGGCAGGCGTGGTTGGGACAAAACCTTGGCACAGCTGGCCACAGGTAGAACATCCTTTAGAACATTAACAGGGGAGGAAAGCACTGGCTGGTGAAGAAGGGACAGAGGGACTTGGCAAATGCTTAAATGTCTTTAGTTTCTTTTTTGGTGGGGAGGAGAAATGGGTTTGAATGAGGAATTGATCCCACACAGTTTGATCCTCTTGCAGGAGTATTGCCATTGATTTCTGGAGGAGCAGGATGTGGCCACCGTGCTGTGACTGTGCTTTGCTCTTGGTACAGAATAATTCCATGCCACTCCAAGAAAGCCCCAACCCAAACAAAACCACTCTCTGCAAATGAACAAACCAAACCCACTTGGCTGCACGGTGACTGAATGAAGGTTTTTAATCTCTAATAAGATTGTTCTGGAGCCAGGGAGGCTGAGGGAAGGTTTTCCCTGAAATCCTGCTCCTCAGACTAACTGTGCACTTGCTGAGCCGCTCCGTAGTCACAATGGTTAATTCATTTTCTAAAGATCACAGACACATGAAACTGAGACTTTTTGATTTATTTTGAGCTCTGAGGAATATAATGTGAAAAACTATTCAGGTTTTACTGGCTGGCCAGAGCCTGCAGTCAGTTTAATGAGACACAGCTAAATTTACCATGATGAAGTGCTGCTTCGTGCATGAAATAGATGCTGCGGTCCCGTGCTGCTGATTGATGATTTATTACCTTTACAACTCTGGCACCAACGTGCAGGATTAATTTCCAGTGGATTATTCATTGTTTGCACCCCCTGGAATCTTACATGATTGATAAACATAATTTAAAATAAACACGAAAACAAACTAGGAGAGATTTTGAAGTTGTGCATTTTACAACGCTCCGCTTTACCCCAGGAGATGTTTTAGAAACCTAACGTAGCATCAGTTTGTGCTGGGAAAGATATTTGTGGCTCCCTTTGTTCTGGTTCCTTGTGAAATTACTGGTTTTATTCTGTAGAGCTCTCAGGGGGTGGATTTGAGCTCATCCCTCTGTGCCCGGTCCGTGGGTGCCCAGGGCAGTCCCTGGGCTGATCCCAGCTGACAGGCCTCTGTTGGCACCCCGGGCACTGGGAGCCCAGTCATGGAGAAATGCCCACGTCAGGACTTGCACAGCCAGCAGGATTTGCAGCTCTGAGACTCGTGTCTGCTTTTACCCTTTAACTTCTGGGGAGAAAAACCTGTTGGGGCACGGGATTAGCGCTGGGAAACGGGGAGGAGGATCCAGCCAGCAGAACACGGAGAGGGGTGTTAGAGGCAGAGCAAACCAGCAGGGGTGGGGTGGGGTGTTCTCTGCAGCACAGACACCCCCTGGCACAGAGTTTTGGGGCTTCTGCTGCTGCAAACAAGACTTGGGTGCTGTGTTTCAGGCCCTCAGTTGGCTGTGGCCTCACAGAGATGAGGTGCCTTTGCTTTGTGAGAGGTTGGTTGGTAACCCTCCTTTCCCAGGCTCCTGGGCAGGGCTCGGCGGTGTCCCAGCTGACACAGGCAGAGACCCGGGGTTTGCTTTAATCTTGATTTATTTAAGAGAAAAGAAGCTGTGCTTTTGCAAGCAAGGCTCTGCTCAGCCTTTGGTCACTGGGCAGGTCAGTCTGGGCCCTCACCTGGGTTTTTAACCTCTGCAAAGGGTGTGTGAGTGCTGGGAAAACCATCAGCTCTGGAGTCAGGCAGAAACACCGGGGGGAAAGGTTCAAACACTGAGCTGAGATTCTTTCTACTTGTTCTTTGTGGTCCCCAAGACCAAGAGCTTTAAAGTTCTCTGCAGATATTGGTGGTGGGATGTGTTGTCAGTCACTCCTTGTCAGGAGCTCTTGTGTGGTGCTGCCGTGTGCTCCAAGCAAACACAGCCCTGTATCCCTGTCTCCTTCGAGTCCTGACCATGATTCGTGTTCTCTCATCACAGCATTTATTACTATTATCATTATTAGTAATTACATTATTATTATTATTATTACTACTACTACATTTATTCTCTTTATCACAGCCATCTCTCGTCTCTCACCATCTCTGTGCCCCTTGTCCCTGCCACTCTTCAGTGTTATATTTTCGGAAGATAAAATAGATTTAATTATAAGCAAAAATGCCTGCGGGGCATGGAAACGGTCCAGGACTATGTCAAGAAGAGATCATTCCCATTCTGGGGAAAAACTCCCTTCTCTGACCTCTTTTCTCTCTTGGAAAAGCTGTTTCCCTTATGTTCCTCTGCCCGTCCTCAGAAACTTCAGTGCTAGAGAATTTTAAAATATATAAGCCTTTTTTTTTTGCCTTTCATGGATGGTGAAGTAAATAAGTATCTGCAGTCCCACACACTGAGCAGCAGTGGTGCCTTGGAGCTGCTCAGAACTCATATCTGTGGTACAGAACCAAGCCCTGCAGTGCAACAACCCAGGGAATATTTGCTCGGCTAAAAATCAATCGTGGTGTTTCTTTCTACATCTCCTGTTTTGTTGTCTGTCATCTTGGATTTATCAGAGCGGTCCGTGTTTGGGCTCTCATCCTGATGTGTGGCTGGACTGTCAGATGAACAAGTGTGGATGTGAAGGAGACAGTTTCCTTAAAGGGCTGTTGGCATCTCAGTCTTCCCCCTTGGAAAAATTGCAAGCAGTGGATGCTGTTGATGTTGTGGGAGACAAGGGTTTGTTTTCAAGGACTGTGCTCAGGGTACTCATAGAACAGTGAGTTCAGATTATTGACTTCTGGAATGTGAAGTCATCAAACTCCTGCTATGGAAAAATCTTTCTGTATTACAGAAATATATCTTAGGTCAAAAATAGTTTTGTTTGCCTTCCCCAGCAGCCAGACCTCTGGGGGCTCTTTGTGTCTCTCCAAAAGGGTCCTCAGGTGGCTGTGCTGGTGCTTGTGGTCCTGTCTGGGCATCGCAGACAAACCTGGGCAGGGCTGAGACCTGTTTGCTGTTCCTCTGGAACAGCCTTCCCACATCTCCTAGAGCTGTTCTGCCTCATCATTCCATGAACTCTGTGCTCTGCTCAGCCTTGGCTTTGCTCTCAGCAGCAGAATGTGTTTTACTGCTTTATTTTGCAAATACTGCTCCAGTTTCTTCTGTCTCCATGGTGTACTCCTTGCTTTCCTACAACAGAAATAATAAACCCTTTCATTATTATTATTGCTAATTATTGTTATGAATAGCAGGGGGAAATTAGTGTAATCTGGAATCTCATTGCAAGTTTAAATATAACAGAGGAGACAGTAAAGTTCCTCTCATCCCAAGGCAGAGTTTGGATTTGACGCCTCCCTGGGGATGTGCTGCACTTTGTGTCATGTGCCCACCCTGCACCCTGTGCTTCAGTCCAGCTTCCCCTGGTTGAATGACAAAGGAATGGCCACGACACAGTAAAGCAGGAGTGAGTTTTGTATTGGAAATCCCAAACAAACTTGGACCAACTCCCTGCGTGTGAAGTCGTATTCCCTGTGCAGCCGCTGAGCCTGGCACATGGCGAGGTAGGACTCCTGCTTTGAATGCAGGAGGAACAGAAATAAAGCTCTTGTACATGAGGAACCCCCCAGTATTTGCTGAAGGAGTGAGGCAATTGGTTTGATTTTTTTGTTGGTTTTTTCCTTGCATATTCTTTTCCTTGGAGAAACCAAACCGGGATCCTGTCCCAGAGCTGAGGTTCTGTGGTGGGCAGTGTCAGCAGGAATGGGAAAAGTCTCTGCAGGGCAGAGGGACAGTGAAAAAGGGCAAGGTAGAGTTCCTAAGCAGTGTTCCTTACACTTAATGCAGTGAGTGCTGGAAACAATGAGCAGGTTTGGTGTCAGGTTTTGAAGGTGTTACACCAGAGCCAAGAAAGGGGCAGGAAGCCAGGAAGCACCGGGGTGTGCTGAGGGTGGGTTTTGGAAGACAAGCAGGAGCTGTTGGGAAGGTAAAAGAGAGGTTGCAGGACAGTGGAACTCTGAGTTCCTGTCAGGGCTGCTGTGAGCTGTGCTGAGTGTGCAGGAGCTGGGAACATGATGGGTGTCCCAGGGGAGATCAGTGCTCCAGAGTCAGTCCCCTGCAGAGCACCAGGCCCAGGGGTCACTCCAGGAGAGATGTTCCATCCCACAACTCGGGGATGCTGCAGTGTCAGATGCTGAGTGCCACAGCCTGCTCCTGAGCCCTGGAGATGCTCTGGATCTCCTGTCACAAGGGATAGATCAGGAGGGAAGTGTCCAGGAATATGTTGCAGTGCAAGTAAGTCCTGGTGCTGACACTATTTTTGGAATCTTTTCCCTTGCCTCGGCAGTATCTTGATGAAATCAAGTGAGACTGAATAGGTTTAAGGTTTTGGAGAGGGAATAATGATGATGATTTTCTTGAGGCCAGTTCTTCTCCCCCAGCCCTTTCTTCACTGCTTTCTCCCATAAGAGGAGGGTCTGACTCAGGAGCTGGCTTAATCT